CCCTTTTCAAAATTTATTCGAACTACCGCTTTTTTAAGCATCTTGACATAAATTTTTTGATATAATTTTGAAGTAAATAACTCCCTTAATTGAAGTTAAATTTGATTTGTTTAAAGAGTGTCAGCCCTCATCCATGAGTAAATAATGATTTTATATATCTCTATATAAAGTTCCAGTAATATATCCAAAATATTTCCTGAGTAATGCAGTATGAAAAATTCCGTTTGTTGGGAGGTGCCACGCCCCCTTGTCTAATCGAGATTAAATCTATCCTATATTTTAAGTTGGGCTAAATGACATCAGTGTTCAAAATTTCATTATGATCGGTTAAGTAGTTAAAGCGAAAAAGCATAGCAAACAAACAAACTCACTTTCGGATTTATAATATTAGTAAGGATAAGGATTACGACAGCAATCGCGAGCGTAGGGTTTCGGTTTGTGTCGTTTGGTTACCATGACTTCCCAACTTATGTCAAATATGACGCAGTATGGACCGCCGCCTGTTGGAAAGCATTACATAGTCATTTTGACTTTAAAGAACAACAACTTTCACAGCACAAAAAGGTATTAACAATTTGTTTAATTCAAAAACCCATTTGTTAGCAACCCTGGTAGTTTGCTGAAAGTGGCAACACCGCGAATAAGAACTGCAACCAAAATGTATATTTAATACGCCTTAACTGCAACCAACTTTGGTATATATTTTCGTCGGCCATAACATAAGGAGTCTAGACAGCGTACGAGCAACACAAGTGTAAAACAACAACAACAACAGCAGGCTTCAATCTAAAACCTTCAGCGTTCAACCTACGACTATTTAAGCACTTACCGACTGCCGTTCATATATATATATATTTTATGTTTTAAAAGTACAAGTTACGCGCTTACGTGTTTGTAAAAGTAGAAACCTTAATAATACGTTTTTATACAACTAAACGTCTTTATTTTATTCGTTTTAAATCCTTCGTCGGTAAGCAGGAGCAGTTCTTACACTTCAACATCTTTTACACTTGTACGCTGTCGGTGAAAACGAATAAAGTTGGTACCGGAGGCTATTTTGTATGTCTGAAACTAACTGATATTTTTTACGAAATCGGGCCGGTGTTACGAGCGAGAATCAAAGGAGGGAATCAGAGTCATCGTTTGAAAGCATGGAGGGTCATGGAGGTGCAGCCGCAGAAGACATTGCTACATTGAATGCGTTAAGGGCTTCCGTAGAAGAGCTTAGACAAAGCACTGCCAAAGAGACATAATAAGGCTTCGCGAAGGCATGCAACCACAGAATATTCCGGAGCAGAGCGTGCAGCCAGCACAGCGTGACAGTACTCAAGCCGTCGTAGCACCGACCGACTCGCAAGTAAAACTTTACGATTTGCCTGTGTTCAGTGGCAATGTCGAAGACTGGCCGCTATTTTTCGCAAATTTCAACGACACCACGGAAACCTTTGGGTATAGCCACCGCCAAAACCTTATGAGGTTGCAGAAGTGCTTAGTTGGTCCCGCCAAACAAGCTGTCGCCGCCATGCTAATTTACCCGAGCAACGTGCCGAACGTCATAAGCGAGTTGGAGTTCAAGTTCGGGCGACCAGACATTTTGGTTAAATTCCAAATCAGTAAACTGCAGCATTTCCCGCCGTTTTCCTCGAGAGTGAGAAATGTTGTTGCATTTCTTAAGTCTGCAAACTGCCAGCAGCACTTAGCTAACGTAACATTGTTGAACAAATGGTGGGTAAGTTACCGCATAACCGACAGTTCGACTGGGCGAAGCATGCTGCGACTATACAACCGTATCCATCAGTTGAACATTTTTCTGAGTGGCTTAGCGAGTTGGCTAAAATAATTTGTCTATGCCGACGATCAGCACGCAGAGTGGCAGGCAGTCAGCATCATCGGGCAATCCTCGTCGACTGATGCATATTGAGCGGCCAAAGGACTCACTTACTTGCCATCGTGTAGTGGTAACCACATGCTTCCACAGTGTGATGCGTTTAAGGCAAGCAGTATTCAAGAGCGGTGGGACCTGGTTAAGGCGCAACAGCTTTGCTTTTCGTGCCTACGCAAGGGGCATTCCACGCAAAAGTGTCGTGCAAGAAGGAGGTGTAACATAAGTGGCTGCCAGCGCTATCGCAACCAGCTACTCCACAACGAAGATGCAACAATGCAGATGCTACGCCGAACTACACCAGAGGACGTCATTGCGCAGCCAGTACTGAATTGTCAAGTAACACAAAGCGCACATGGTCAACTGTTTAAAATATTGCCAGTCAACATATATGGACCGAAAGGTAAGCGTGAGATATTAGCGATGTTCGACGAGGGTTCGCCAATTTCAATTATAGAAGAGGAAGTGGCCAAGATGATCGGAGCCCACGGTTGCATACATCCACTTACGCTGCAGTGGTATGACAACAACGTTGTTACGGAACAAT